TCCTTTTTTTCCTGCCACCTCTGGAAAGTTATTTCTCTGAACTAAAATTAATTTCTTTTTTTTTAAAGATTTTATTTATTTATTTTTTCCCCCAAAGCCCCAGTAGATAGTTGCATGTCATAGCTGCACATCCTTCTAGTTGCTGCATGTGGGACGCGGCCTCAGCATGGCCGGAGAAGCAGTGCCTCGGTGCGCGCCCAGGATCCGAACCCGGGCCGCCAGCAGCGGAGCGCGTGCACCTAACCGCTAAGCCACGGGGCCGGCCCTGAACTTAACTTAATTTCAACATGTACTTAACTGGAAAACAATACTCCTCAATACCAGCCACATCACCTCACCATACTCTGGTGTGTTTGCTTGTGCTGTTACATTCCGGCTTCAGTGGTCAGAGGTCTTATTCCTTCTCCGCCATTTGGGTTTATACCCTTAAGAATTATTGTGTGACTCACAGCCATGAGACTGGCCAGTACGTCCCCTTGAGGGTAACAAGTATGTTCAGGCAGATCAAAAGTCATAGCCCTCCCTCAACCAACCCCAAGGCTGGAGCTGAATAGCTTCAATGTCTAACAGAGCGAAAGGAAGTCCTTTGTGAATTTGAATTCATCTAAAGACGTGGAGATGTGGGAATGCTGTGCAGGGCCGGCTGGGAGTGGTGGGGGTGGGAATAGAGGGAAGGAGAGAGGGAAGAAGTGATAAAAGGTTCAGAGGGAAGATAGATCTTCAGGGTTGCGGCTTATTGTACTCTCCCACTCTCCCAATTTTTTTGGTTCTTTCTTTAAAATCTTAAAGATTTTATCTGGAAGTTGAGTTTCATCATGTCTCCCAGGTGTTGATACAGCATTTTCTCTTTGTTATTTTCTATACTGTCCTTCATTTCATTTTCTATTTCCTTCCTTAATCCAGTAATTAGGTAGGAGAGAGTTTATAGATTTCCAAGTAGTTGGGCATTTTAAAAATTTTCATCGATAATTTCTAGTTGCACTGCATAGTAAAGAGATATGTGTACAATTTCTGCTTTGTGAATTTTCTGGGGTTGGCAAGAGGTCTAAAATACGATTAATTTGTCTTTCAATGACACTTGTAGAATAGGCATACATTCCCTAGATTTCAGAAACCAAATTTAACGTAACTTACTTCTCCCTATCGTATTAATTATAGTTTTCGGCTTTTCTATGCCATTGATTTTTGTTTGCTTTCCACTTTTGAGAAGGAACAACTTCCCCCGAAACCCTCCTGTTTCCCCAGAAGATAGTTTCTCCTTTCCCTTTGCTTGTCTATCGTGCAGTGTTCCCTTCCCACTTACCCAGAGTCTGAGGGACGCGAGGGGACAGATGATTCGGGATTGTTCAAGGAGATTTTGTGGGGTGAACAATCTTATTCATTTCCTTCCACATCCCATTTTGAGCTCTGGCCTTAGCATCATAAAGGCTTCTGAAATTATTATTCAGCCTACTACTTGCATTCTCTGTGATTAAAAATTAAACTTTCATTACTACCTTGTGTGCCCATCACTCAGAGTACTGATGGCTTAAATCACTTATGAAATATTAATGAGAGGTGCTGCTTTATATTCTGAAAAGAAGCTTCTGTCACATTCATTCAAGAGTTCTGTACAATGTAAAAGCTCTCTCAGACAAAAACAGAGGAACTAACAGTTGATCTTTCTTGCTATACTCATTCTTTTGTTACCAGCCACATCACATCACCCAGGGGCAATGTGTGTTTTTAGAAATAGAAAACTTAGTTGAGAGAGATATAAATCCAAGAATTAATACATAAATGTATGCTTCTTGTTAAAAAAGGAAAAGAAAGATATGGTACACTGGGTCTGGGTGATACCACATTTATTATCTGTTGTAGTCAAATTTTATTCTCAAATAAATGTTTATGGAGCTCTCTTACCAAGCAAAAAGTAAGTCTTTCAAAACCATACTATACATGAAAGAGATACACTAGGCAATGGTATCTTAATCTTCATATAAAGGATATATTCACATGGCAACAAGGCATCTAGAACCACATAATGAAGAGATTTGGGATTCTTAGGAGTGCATCTATTCACACTCAAAAGAAAATTCCCTATTATCATTCTCCCACACCTCTCTAGAATTCTCTATCTGTTCTTCATTCTTTCTAAAATTTTGGGTGGTCTTCTCTCTCTCATAAACAGAGTTAGTAAATGGCAAAGTCAACTCCCCTCCAAACTCTAATGTATCTGAAATATCATTACTCTTTTTTTTTCATTCCTTTGCTTAAACGTTTCACTTTTTTGGTATACCTTTTAAAAATGAAACCACCATTTTGGGGAGCAATATATTGAGTCATAATAATGTCATTTGAATTTGGTCCCAGTATCACTTTCTTTCATGCCCACTGTCTAAAGGACGTAAAAAGAAGTGGATGTACTTTTAAAAAAATGTGCTTAGTTCATAAATTTTCCAAATAGATAGATATGATTTAATGGCAAGAACTTTGATCTGAGTCAATATACATCTATTTAGAATCTTGTGTAGGTATATTTAAATCCTAATCTGACAATAACTAGAGTTTGACCTTTACGACCCCAATTTCCTCATTTGTAGAATTAAGTATTTAGATTAGATGACCTCTGAGGCCCTTGCTGGTGCTAAAATTCTACAAATCAATTGGTTATATTCCTTTAGGATGGTCAAGAATATAATAGAAAAGTCTCTTCAATTATTCAAATCACTATACATGATCTGTCCTTCTAATAATAGAGCTCTTTTATTTTTTCCATCAACCACCCTTGAGGGAAATTTGATAAAGACTTTGTGGGTATGTGTGCACATCAGAATGATGGTACTTCAATGGCCAACTATGAAAGGGTCTTATCGGCTCTCTCGGAACTAAGTTCAAGACAGGAGTTGGAAACTTAGCCTGGGAAAACCTTGCATTTGTATGTTTTTAATTCTTCAAGCTTCTTTTATTATTCATTTCCTTGATTTATCCTCACAAAGCTTGGAAGAATAGGTAGGGCATGTTTTGGAAGTAGGAACTGAAGCATCAGATAAAGAATTGTCCAAGATTCTATAGTCATCAAATGACTGAACTAAAATAAGAACTTAGATGAATTAACTCCAACCCCATTCTGGCTGCAAAATATTCCGCCATTCTGTTTTTCAAAGCTGAATCTTTTAATGCTAGTTTTATGATTTTTTTTTCTGATAACTTTTCAGAACAATTCAGCAGAGTTCATGTAACTCATTATTGAAATTCAACTACAGTGTACTGCAAAGCCAGAGAGGACAGGTCATTCCAGATGCTCTGATGATGCCTTAGGGGCTTTAGAACCACCATAAAGAGTCTAATAGAAAGGTACTCAGGTTTCCCTGAAAATTAGAGTTACATTTTTGCCTATCTGAGAAAAGTACTGTGCGTGGTTGCACGTTATAGTCCTGTGACCAGGGAGCCAGGTATGGAATTGGGAAATTCATGAGAGCTTCCTCCTTAGGGAAGGTGAGCCAGCTTTTATAGTCATAGCTACACTATTGCATTTCTGTTCTTATCAGAGAATAGTATAACCGGAACTACTAAATTCAATTTGCAGCTCCAGCACTCCCCAGACAAGTAACCATGGGCAAGTAACAACTTCTCTGGGCCTGTTTCCTAATATCAAAATAGGAATAACAATGGTTATAGTGAAGGTTCAATGAATTAACTCATGTAAAGCACATACCATATCTCGAAAGACAATAAGACGACAGTAATAATTCTCTACTTAATTTATTATAGTATTTTAAAGTCTTAGACTAGCATCTGGGACATAGCAAGTACTCTAAGTGTGAGCTATTTTTACTGTTCTCAAAGTAAAAAAACAGATGTTGGAAATTTAATTTTTATATACATAAAAATACCTAAGATTGCTCCATAGTGTAAAACTTTAACGTACTTTATAATAGACTTTAGAAAACATACATTGAATGAATAAACACATTTACCTCAACATCTGAGATAAAAATCTCTAGATTAAAAAAGATATTGCTGTGGTGCCATGGTCAATGCATTCCTTCATTCTTCAGCTAAATCCAGACTTTACGCTAAAACTCTATGCTTACTGTCTCCTCATGTGAAGGAGGTAAGAGGGCAAGAGGTTACATAGGTTTTTCCTGGAAAAATGAATGTTCTCATTTACATGAGCAAACAAAATTGACGATGCGTCTCTGAGTTTATATAAAATGATTGTGCCCAACAAAAAGTGTTTTGTTTCTCTTGCTCAACACTTTAATTTGTGGTTTGACCAATAACTAAGCAAAAGAAATACCAGGCCAGGCAAACAAAAACTGCTTTTTTGTTTTGGATATTCTTATGATTATAACCATTACACACACTTAAATCAGAGTTGAAGTTTTCTGAAAGAGAGCAAGCAGAACTAATGAAGGAAAAAAACCTAAACTCTAAAACAAGAATTATTCAATGCTTTAACTTAACTTGCCACTGACTAGCTAGCTCACCGGGGCAAATCCTTTCACTTCTCTGGGTTGGGTTTCTTCACATATAAAATTGTCCTGGACAATCTCTGAAATCTGTATCCTATTATAAATCCCATTAGTCTTACTTACTTCCATTTGCCTTTGTTATTAAGGCTCAGTTTAATAGCTTGTAATTTAGCATTACCATGTATTTCTAGTCTTAGCTTTCATTGTTGACCTTTGCTGTTCCATTAACAATCTCCTGCTCGCCATCTATAGATCTATTTTTGGCAAATTCTTTCATACTCTCTAGAACAGTTGTTCTCAGACTCTAGCTTGCATCAGAATCACCGGGGGCGGGAGGGGGTCTGTTAAAACACAGATTGTTGAGCCTACTCCTAGAAGTTCTGATTCAGTAGGTCTGGGATAGGGTACAGAATTGCATTTCTAACAACCGAGTCATCAAGGTGCTCTGGATGCTGCTGGCCCAACAACCATTTGAAGACCACTGCTCTACAGAGTATAAAAATGTTGATAATCATCTAAGCGCCACTGAGTAGTAAAAGTTACCTCAATGTAACTCTGAGAACAGCCACTCTGGCCTTCCAGTGCCACGGAAGTGAAGTTGACCTCTATTTGTTCTCCCAAGGGTTGCTCTATAATATAGACACATTGTCCATTGTGAGTGAAAGGTCCAGACAAGTCAGCAGAGAGAAGACCCTCTGGGTCTGTGTAGTTCCCTCCACAATGCAGATCCGCTAAAGAGAACGGAGAAGAGAAGGGAAAGGTCATGTGGGTGGCCATTCCTCTACCTCCAAGGTGTATGATACAATTTTTAAAAATGTACACACACACACGCAATCATATACCCACTTTTTTCACCCTGTATAGGCTTGTGCCTCTAATTATAAGATGTTCAGTTTGGTGTGTCTTTGTGGGATGTTCATATAGTGACTAAAGAAACAGATATAGAGATGTACAATCTAACTTCCAATCTGCCATCTTTCCCTACAAATTGCTTTTAAAATACATTTATGCTCTCCTTCATTACAAAAAGATTTGAGGCAGTTTATAAAATATACATAACAAAATGAAATATATAACTAGAAAAATGAATCAGATTAAAGGGATAATGACTGCAGAATAGCAAGGTTGCTCAGGGGACAGTTGATATGCTCAGAAAACATGTATGGACTACACAAATTACAGAAGGTCGGCTGCAGATTCAGCTGGAAGCCAAAGTAAATAGAGAAAGGGGACCAGTAAAAAGATGTTCATGGTTATTTTTCCTGATATTAAGACTTAAAAGGTGTTTTTCTGGGAACTCCCATCAGGGCACAATGATGTAATAGTAAGAACAAAATCCTCTACAGGCCTAAAATAAAAATCATAGAACATTTCATCCTTGTCTGTTGGTTTGTTTTAAGGTATCAATGCCAATTAAAGACATAATAGCTATAAAATCTGATATATCTTAAGATAGACTGCATTTCTCTCATGAACAACATCTCTCACAACAAAATGTTGAATAAGATCTAGGGAACTGATATCTGAATTATTTAATTTTAGGTGCCTTGCACATATCTATCATAGTGTGGATCTCATAATTTAGGGATAGAGGGCTATTGTACCATTAATAATAGAACATTGGGAAGGTAGAGAAAAAATCTGGAGCTGTAAGAGAAATCCTTATAAAGATATTATTAGTCTAAGTAAGTAAGTCATCTGCAGCCTCACATTAAAATATAAAACAGCTATAAGCATAGCACTGTCTTTCACATTTATATTAAGCTCCCACTTATCAGGTTACTTACAAGGTATTGTTAAGTAGGTGATATGGAAGCCTTGGTCATTAGTCTGGTTGTCAGAATGGAAATGAATTCTGGCAAAGGGACCTGTAGTCTGCAGTGGTGGGACAGAGAGAGAGGTGCAGAATTTCCCAAGAACAGGGTCCTGATACAAAGGACCATCTCGAATCTAAAACAAAAGAATGAATCATTAAGCTCCAAGTGGTCAGATTTTAATAAACCCAGTCGTTTTGAACATTAATTTTAGAAAACCCGTCATTTAAAAGTGTGGCTCTGGGAGGTTTTCCTATCACATCTATATCTAACACACATTTGGGCTTCAGTAAAGGGGGGGTCTCCTCCCATCATTCCTGATGCCTTACCTTCTGTCTGAATTTTAATTCTGAGGCTATTGCATTTTTCTCATGAATTTTTCTCAGTGTTTTCTTTCCTAAGTCCCCCCACCCCCCCGCAAGATTTTTGTTTTGAAATGATAAATTTCTAGTGATCTAGGAGAAGAAAATGAATATATGCAAAGAAAACAGAAGAAGGAATGCCAGCAACGTCAATTGATTCACAATTTGGTCTAGAGATTCAGGAGGATCAGAAGGGGAAAAGGAGGTGAAGTCAGATTAGATGCAACATAAGGAGTTAAACGAATTTAAAAAGTGCAACTTTAATATTAATTAAGTACTGCAATAATGAAGATCTGACCTTAGAAAGCTTTTCTAATTATTGGTTTTTAATCTCTTAAAAAATCATATCGGGCCGGCCCGGTGGCGCAAGCGGTTAAGTGCGCGCGCTCCGCTGCGGCGGCCCGGGGTTCGCTGGTTCGGATCCCGGGCGTGCACCGATGCACTGCTTGTCAAGCCATGCTGTGGCAGGTCAAATATAAAGTGGAGGAAGATGGGCACAGATGTTAGCCCAGGGCCAGTCTTCCTCAGCAAAAAGAGGAGGACTGGCAGATGTTAGCTCAGGGCTGATTTTCCTCATAAAAAAAAAAAAAATCATATCAACCTCTCTATAATTCTGTTGTAACTGAAAATTTTGTACTATATAGAACACCAAGGTATCAATGAACTAAACGATATTTTAATATGACCAATTTTGTCTACTCAAATTATTTTTTCTATTGGCAGCAAAGTTATAAGGCAGCATTACTTTATTCCTATATTTAGCTAGTTCTTTGAAATATTGCTGAGAAATGAGAGGCATTTCAGTATTATCAGAATGAATGACACTTTCTATTATACATGTATCCAGGAATTAATACACAGAAATGAAAAAAATGGCTCCAATTTTAATTTGATGGAATTTATTGAAATTGATTTCAAGAAAATTTACTTTAATGTCAACATTTAAAAGATTATCTTGCTGAAATATTTCAGGGAGAGGTGGATCTTCCAGTCATTCCCAAAGGTTTCAGATGCATTACAACTGCTAAATTACTTATGACTTTAATTTGTGAAGATCCCTGTTTGACAGCCACACCCTCCTATCCTTTATGAATAATTCCATAGCATTCCATTCTTTCCTAATGGACTTGGAGAAGCATATTGCATTTTATCACTACTGCAAGGGGTACAGAAATTTACAGTGATAAACAAGACAGGAAGAACATAATAACTTCTGAATGATCTTTCCCGTCTACAATAGAGAGCAACATTTTTAATATACTTATATGCTTATGGCATTTGAATATACAGCCTTTTTCCTTTTCCACACTTTAATCTTTTACTAATGGTAAGTAGGAGGGGCACAGGTTGACTCCTCTCTTTCCAATGACAGTTATCAATATATTCCAGCAAGGCTCACCCTTTAGCAATCCATTTCAACGCATTCGCTATTATGTTATTTTTCTTCATGGAACACTATAGTCAACTTGTGAAACACCTTGTTAGTTTACCATAGACAACTGAAGATTTGAATCTGCATTGGACAAGATAGCCATTATTGAGTGTTTATTTCATTCATTCTGCTATTCCCATGTTGGCGGACTGGGCTTCCAGGAAATGACAGAGGAAGGCAAGGTAGTCTGTTTCCCAGATTCAAATAGAACCCAGAAGAAAAAGCAACAGCTGGCACGAGTAAGAACAGGAAGATAGAAAGCTTAGACATTGGCTGCCTATTGAAGAATACATGTAACTATTGTTAAAAAATTATGGTCATCCTCATGTATCACCAAACCATAGTTCCCTGAGTTCTAATCATATCGTGGTAAGTTCTATCTAAATACAATTGTTTACCTCAAGATAATCTTTGCTGCAATCTTCATGGTGCTCCAGACTCAAGGTCCCAAAAGTAAATATAATCAGGAGGTCAGGACTGGTTATAACTTTCCAGATACAATCTCTTCCCGGGGGATAATTTCCAGGATATCCCGGAGACTTAATAGAACCATAAGTACCAGTCAATACACCTCCACACTCTAAAATAAGAGGAAAAAATACCTTTACCTTCATATACAAGTGCAGTTTTGGACACCCTAGTAAATTAAGCAGACTTTAGGTTTTCCAGTTTGATAAAATCATAAATCTAGGAGTACCAATTGATACAAATAAATGAATCACCCATGTGTTGAGCTCTGTACTTATCAGTCATCGTATGGTGATATGGTTTAAAATATAGTGCTGAACTGTCTGAGGGATGAATAATGGGATGATAGATTCATTTTTTTCACTTTGAGAGAGATTAATTTCTGTACTTTAACTCTTAAAAAATTCTGGAACTTCTGTCAGCCCCTATGTCTTTGAACAAACCAGATCATTTTATACATTAGATGTATAAAATGTTAAGCGCTACATAATTTTCATTTGAGAAGGTTTCTTAACACTATAATGTAGTTAAACCATTTATTTTATAAATGAGGAAATTCAAATGTTTATGGAGGTTGAGCCACCTACTCAGGAATAGAGCAAGTGAGGCACTGGGCCAGGTTTTCTGACACCTAGTCCACTACCACCCCCATTACACCCCATCAGCACCCTAAAGTGGCATGTCTGTGACTGGAAGAATCTTCTCTTTATTAATACCCACATTTATTTAATAAAGAATCTGTGGTGGCTTATAAGATCGAAAAATAGAAATACTAAAGAAAGATCTAGGCTGCAGTAAATATAAATTAGAAAAAAGTTAAATAAGGTGACATTTCAGATATGCAAGATATGAGATTTACATAGCTATGCAGGTTATTCAAACAAAAGCTTTGCTGCCAAGGCAAAAAGTGAAACAAATTAGTTACCTTATTCTCACTGTCCCTAATGAGAAAATATCTCTATTGCTCAGAGGAAGAGAAATTTTCTAAAACTTAGTATTTAAAAAATTATCACACTGGTAAAAAAATTAAAACACCAAAAAAAAAATTATAACACCATAAGCAAAGTAAAATGTTAATGATAAACTGGGAACAATGCAATGTATAATACAGACAAAGCGTTAATATCCCTAATATCTGAAAACCTTCTAAAAAGAATAGAGATATAAAGAGAGAGTTCACTGAAAAAAATCAAATGTCCTTCATACATATGAAAAGATGTTCAACCTCACTCATAATAGGGGAGACACAAATAAAAACTTCACTGAGACACTGTTTGTTATTCTCAGAATGATAAAAATCCAGAATTTTGAAAACAAATTACTGGTGAGGCTGTGTGGAATTAGGCGCTTTCCTACATAGCTGATGAGAATGCAAAATGGTGCAACTCCTACCGAAGAGACTATGGCAATATCTAGTCAAAACGCAGGCCTTTGTTTTTTGACCAAGCAATCCTACCTTTAGAAATCTATTCCAAAGATACATTTGCAAAAATGCAATAAGACAAATTCACAAGGCACTTTGTTCAGCACAATTTGGAATTCCAAAAGACTGGAAACAAGCCAAATATCCATAGCGTACTGACTGAATAGACAATGAGATAGCCACATAATGGCCAGCTATGCTCCAGTTATGAGTAATCTCCAGGATATGTGAGGTGAAAAAGCAAACAACAAACCAGCGTCCATTGTTTGCTACCTTTTATCTAAGAAAGGGAAAAATACGATTATATGTGATTATTTGTTTATATTTTTTAAATGGAAGGATAAATCTAAAACTAATAAGAATTGTTACCTCTGGAAGAGGAAAGGAACAGGGTGGAAGTGACAGGATGGCAGCTGGACTTCTCTAAACCTACCATGCATTTTGATTTGGTTTTGGAAGCATGAATACGTTTTACATGATTATAAAGTAAAATTCAATAAAAATGAAAAAAAATCTTTAAAATCACAAGCAAAATAAAACAAATGAAATAACTATGTTGAGCTAATAGTTTAACCACGAGTAGAAATATTCTGAGACTTTAAGACACTTTAATTTGGGCCGGCCCCGTGGCGTAGCGGTTAAGTGCGCGCACTCTGCTGCTGGCGGCCCAGGTTCGGATCCCAGGCGAGCACGATGCACTGCTTGTCAGGCTATGCTGTGGCGGCCTCCCATATAAAGTGGAGGAAGATGGGCACCGATGTTAGCCCAGGGCCAGTCTTCCTCAACAAAAAGAGGAGGATTGGCATGGATGTTAGCTCAGAGCAGATCTTCCTTACAAAAATAAAATAAAATAAAACACTTTAATTTGACTATCCAGCCCAAATGAAATGTATCTTAAGTACAAAAAGAATATCCAAGAAATATTAAATGGTTTTTAGTTATCTTATTATTAGTAACAACAAAATATTATTATTTTGAAAATGTGTATAGTAAGATTAAGTACATAAGAAATATATTAATGTCATTGGGAACCAAGATTTTTAGTGTATAAGAAAAGAGGTACAAATATAAAGTAAAAAAGCCTGTAATTCAGTATGCCAATGGAAGATCACAAGGATATACGGTAAATTTTTTCTTTAAAAATAATAAAAGTATTTTCTAGTTCTTTCCATTGAAAGATTTAGATTCTTTGACCCATCTAGTAGCAATAGTCACTTCTAGCACCCAGAGTGTGGGATCTAAATACCATTTCCCATTAAAGGAGTCAGAACTCTTTAGAGAAATAATTGGTTCCAGTCCTGAGACAGTGAATGTATAAGAAGATCCTGAAACAACTTTCAGAGCAGAAAGCAAGGAAGCTTTCAAAGGTAGCTGGAGTTGGGTCAAAGAGGCTCAGAAACTAATTTGAGAGTTTTCCCACTAGGTAAATAAGGAATAATTTAATATAAAAATTTCTAGAACAGGTTAAAATATATTGAATATGATAAAATATGAGCTCATAGATATCAAAAACAAAACAAAATCAAAAGGAATAATAGCTAATTGATCATTTGGGAGAAAGCTAGGGAACCAAGTCATTAGTCTGAAAACTGGGAAAAAAGGGAAAGAACCAAGCATTTATCCTACCTTTCCTATACGATCTATATGTGAGAGTAACCAAAAAGTTGATATGGGAACGTTCTACTCCACTGAAGAACTCCAGATAACAAATAAAGAAGTGATAAAATAAACTATCATCATTTTGTAAGCCCCAATGAAAAACTAATCTAAACAATGAACCTAAGGCTTACTAAAACCATTAGAGAAAGTACAAAAGAGAAGTTTTTTCACGGGAAGATCAAGCTGAGAAGATCAAAACTCTGATCAATGTTACAGTCATAATAAAGAGACATGCAGACATCACGTACCTCCTGATGTGATTATTTTTGCTAAAAAACCCAAAAGCTTGAATTTAATCAAACCTCTTGATCTATCAGTTTAAGACATGATAAATGGCACATGGGATACAAATAGCAAAATCCAGAATGTGAGATACTCCCAGTTTCTTTAACAAAAAAATTTGAACAAGGATTAAGATATGGTAATAGTAAGGAATTATTGTTTGTTTTAGTCTTTATTGTTTTCGGGCATTGAGCAGTAAATAGCAAAAGACTGCGATCTTTGAGAGAAGGGAAGCACGTGTGGTAAGTCCCATGTTCACCTCGGAATTCTCCCCACGTGCATTTCCCAAATTAGGGGTCAGGGCAGTTGAGCCCAAGCAGCAGCAATGTTCTTGCTGGGTGAAAGAAACAAAACTCAGAATTTGGGATGACTAGAGTGGCTGGGATTTTGGAGCAGGGTACTATAGAGAAGGCAGCTCCATGAAAATAGCACTCCCAAAGTTTACAGGCGTTTCCTTGTGTCTTTATGGGAATCCGAAGCTGCACGTACACAGGGGAAAACTGTAGAAGGCCTAATAGAGAATATGAGAGCCATGAGACATAGTCAAAACTCTAGTATATGTGTCACTTGAGTCCCAGATGGAGAGGGGAGAGAAAAAATGACAGAAGCAAAGGATAAAAACAATATGATCATCTCAGTAGATTCAGAAAAACTATTTAGTATATTTCAACATCAATTCATGATAAAAAAATTCTTGGCAAGCTAGAAATAAAAGGTGTGATGACTTAATGTTCCTAAGTTCTTTGACACTGTTCCCATTGAGAGGTGGAGTCTACGTCTCCTCCTCTTGAATCTGGATGGGCTTATGACTGCTTCAACCAATTAAAAACACGGCAGAAATAACACAATGTGTTATTTAAGTCAAAAAAAAAAAAAAGCCATGCAGCACCTGCCTGGCTGTAATGCTTGCTCTGAGAAAAGTCAGTTGCCGTGAAAGAAGTTCCACTATTCTAAGACCGCCATAGGAGAAGGACAACATGTAGGCATTCAAGTCAACAGCCTGGTTGAACTCTCTTCCAAAAGCCAGCATCCATTGTTAGCCATATGAGTGAGTCATCTCGGATTTCGAGCCCCGTTAAGCCTTTAGATGACTACAGTCCCAGCCAACATCTGATTGTACTGCTTAACAGATCAAGTGATACTTGTCATGTCCAGCCCTTTCCAAGTCCCTGGTCCACAAAATCAGAAACAAAATAAGATGATTAATGTTCCACAACACTAAACTTGCAGGTAATTTGTTATACTGCAATAGTAATTAGAATAGGAGAGGACTTCCTTAATCTGATAAAAGTTATCTATAAAAACTTATAGCTAAAACATCATATTCGATGGTGAAATATTGAATATTTCTCCATGAGGTTGGGAACAAGACAAAGATGCCCATTACATTTTTATTTAGCATTGTATCGAGTGCCCTAGCCAAGACAATAAATAAGGGGAAAAAAATAAAAGAAAGATTGGAAAGGAAAAAGAAAAATAGCCTCTATTCAAAGATACCATAATTGTGTATGTAGATAAATCCAAAAGAATCTACCAAAAAAAATAAACCTATTAAAATTGATGAATGAATTTAGCAATGTGGCTGGATTCACAATCAAATATTTTTAAAAATACATCACGTTTCTATATACTAATAACAAATGGAAAATGAAGTTTTAGAAAAATAATATCACTTGACATAGCATAAATATCAAATATCTAGAAAAAAACTAACAATAGATGTGAAATAATTAAACACTGAAATCTATAAACCATTGCTAAGATGAATTAAAGGAGAGCTAAATATAGAGATGTTCATGGATTGACAGGGTCAATATTTTTAAGAAGTCATCTCTTCCCAAGTTGATTATAGATTCAATGTAATGCCAACAAAATCCCAGCAGATTGTTGGGGGAAATTAACAAGTTTATTCTAAAATTTACATGGGAATGTAAAGGATCTAGCATATTTTAAAGAACAAAGTTGGAGGATTTACGCTACCAGATTTCCAGCTTCAGTAGTTAAGCCAATGCGGCACAAGGATAGAAAAACAGACCAATAGAAAAGATGAGAAATTCCAGAAATAGATCCACAGATTTATTGATGGGTGAATTGGAGGTTTGGTATACTGTTCTCTCAGCTTTTTTACATGTTTAAAATTTTCATAGTAAAAAATTTGAAAAATAGAGTACTAAAACCAACATAACAGTAAAAAAAAAACAAATTATGTAATAGTCATTAAGATAAAGAATATTAAGTGAAGGAGGGGACAATGTCCTCAACAACATCCCTGCAGTAATCTACTAGTAGAGCTTATATTTTATTATTATTATTTATTATTTTATCTCTGAAAATGAAATTCCAATTCATTTTAGATTTATTTGATTTTAAAATATTTATAAAAATATTATATATCACTGGATTTCAAAACAGCTAATGCATCCAAAGGTCTAATATTGATCAAGAAAATTTAATAACCTCAAGATTTTGCTTTATTTTTCTCCATGTTTACACTTACCTGGTTGCTGTGTTTCCCATCTTATTGTAAAGCCTCTCTCATTTCTTAAATGTTCAGAATAGAAATGAAAATAGAGAGCATTGTCACTACTGAGAAGTTCATTAGGGGGTCTGGAGCCACAGAATCTTCCAAGTTGAAATGCTGCCGAGGAATCTCCATCATGAATCTGAAGAAACTCATATGGACAATTATCCACTGATTCTAACTGGAAATAAGTGAAAGTGATACGAAGCACCTGAAAATATAAAGGCCACAATTTTTCATTTCCATGTTAATTCTAAAGCATTTCTCCCACTAATTAGAAAGCACTCATATTGAGTCGCTTTCAAGAGATAAAGCTATAATTTCCTAATTATCCACAAATACATATGACAATTCCACATATTAAATGACTTTTGTTAAAAATTGCTTAGACCTAACTTCAACTAATATCAAAATATATAAAAACTCTTAATGTTAATGAAATAGATTTTTAACAGCTTTATTGAGGTATAATTGATATGCAAAGAACTGCACATATTTAATGCATACAATTTGATGAGTTTGAACATATGCAAACTGCTGTGACACTACCACCACAAACAATGTAATAGACATATCCAACACTCCCCAGAGTTTCTTTGTGTCTCTCCTTTTCGTGTGTGTGGTAATAACACAACATGATGTCTACCCTCTTAACAAATTTTGAAGCGCACAATATCATATTGTTAACTATAGGTACTGTGTTGTACAGAAGATCTCTAGAACTTACTCATCTAGCATAACTGAAACTGTATACCCATTGAGTTGTTATCCAATGGGTTAATGAAATAGATTTACCTAGATTTCATTGAATTGTCAAGCCCATTAAACAAAGACACTTCAAATGTATAGCTGATAATGCTTCCAAATCAGTAAAACACATTGGAGATTTGAAAAATCTACCTTGAATTAAATTTAACTAACTAATATTACCATTCACAAGAATTCATACTCTGATCACCTGAATAACCTGTAGCGTGTAGCATACACACAGGTGTTTATCAGTGACCCCCAGAGATGCTGATTCCTTAGAGGTCTCTGAACCTCTCAACAAGATACTGATGCCCAGCCCAGATTGACGACCTCAGGTATAGACTGAGTAGGCATGGTGTAGCAATGTGCAGTCTGCAAGTCTTCAGTGGTTGGATATCACTAATAACAAGAGTAGAGAATGATGGAAGGTAATATGAAGAGTTCTGAGCATACAAGTAGAGAAAATAAACACAAAAATGTGTTTCCAAGTTAAAATGTTAGAATGTGCAGACTTAATATAGTATTGTCATTAATGAAATATAAAAGATTTTGTACTGACAACATCATTTAAAATAGCGAAGCTACCAAAAGGAGGCTGTTGAATTTAGTTTCCATTATGATCTAAAACCACAACGGCACTCAGCTAATGAAAAAGGATATCAGGATATTTTTGAAATTCTGTGCTATGGTATTTTTAAGATCTGTTACCCAACATTACATCATTTTCGCCCTTGAAGCAATTTCAATGAAAATCAAATAAATGTTCATGAATGGAACGATCCTGATTTCTATATAACTTCCACTATATTATGTAAATTGTGATGGGGATAAGAAGATATAAAATTACAATAATCAAGAAAAACAGCATGATTTTTTTACAAGTTGATAATAAAAATATTAAAATTTTTTCCCAAAATGATTTTTTCTTGAAAGAAAAATGTTTTCAATGTCAGGAAATAGAATTCATGAGAACTAAATGGAAGGAAGGAAATTCACATACCATGCCCACTGGGAAATTGATTTTGGAGTTTATTCTATTGTAGAGTTTCTCCCTTCTCAAGAGAAAAAATATTTTCTGGCCTGGTACAATGACCTCTGTAACACCAGTTTGCCAGAAAAAGTTAACAGGATGTCAAGGGAAAACCTTATCTATTCAGACGTACAAATTTATTTTAATGAGTCCAGGAATTGGTTGAGAAATAAATATTTGGAAAAGTCTGAGTAATTAATGTTGGGGAGGAAAGCACTAAAACCTTGGGCTTGGATCTTAATTTGAAGTGTTTATGCAGCAGTTCAGCATCTTTGGACTTGAATGGCCTGGGTTCAGGTCACCGCATGCCACTTACAAATCAAGCGCCCTTGGATAAATTCCTCAGCTGCTCTACGCCCCATTTCATCATATGTAAGATGAGGATAATAATTCTTATCTTTCAGGGTTATGAGAGTCAAAATACAATGATCTCATATATGTGAAGCAATTAGCATAGCACGTTGGCACATGCAATGGCAGAGAGAAGACATCGATAAGAAAATCATTTTAATTGCAGTCCTCATTTTTGCATAATAATCAACATTATTGAGTGATCATCTTCAAACACTGCTGTCTCAGTAACAACATGACTTTACAAAGTACTGCCTGCAGTCAGCCAACCCATGTAGAGAATCATCCATGGACTTTAGAAGCAGATGAACTTGACTTTGAAATCCAACTAGTCCAATTACAAGCTAAGGAGTGTTAAAAAAAATTACTCCGCTTCTCTAAGTTTCTATTATCTCATCTATAAAATGACGATTCTATTACTTATTTCAAAGAGTTAGTGTAAATTTAGAGAAAAGTATGCAAAATGTCTAGCCCAAAGCCTGACATTTAGTAAGTCCTCAGCATATGAGAGTTGAGTTATGATTACATTATTTTATGTAATATATACACAGATTACATATTCATATTTGTAAATGAAATGTACATTTAGACAGGAGATACTACATTTACCTTTCCCTCTTCAGTTTGGATAACCCAGAAGCAATTAATGTCATGAACATAACCAACATCAGGGCTCATATAGCCGAAGCTTCCATTCATCCCTGACAGGGACCCTCCACAAACTGCAAAGGAAAAGAAGATGGACTGTGCTTTCCAGAGACTCCAAAAAGGAAGAGGCTAGGTAACTCTGACCCTGCTGATGAAATATTTAGAGAAACCTGAGTTGCAGACAAAAGCCCTGCCATTCTTTCTTCTCCCCTGACCCCTTTTTTCTTTGACAACCACCCAAATCCCACCTCTTGTTCAAAGTCCAGTTGATGTCTCTTCGTCTCCGCCATGAAACCCTCCTGCCTCTTTGTGTTTTCTCTGGCTCCCGTTCTCTCTGCCTCTATGATACTTGACTTGACCCCACACAATTTAGTTCTTTTTTTTTATATATTTATTTTTGTGAGGAAGATCAGCCCTAAGCTAACATCCATGCTAATCCTCCTCTTTTTGCTGAGGAAGACGGGCTCTGAGCTAACATCTATTGCCAATCCTCCTCCTTTTTTTCCCCAAAGCCCCAGTAGATAGTTGTATGTCATAGCTGCACATCCTTCTAGTTGCTGTATGTGGGACGCGGCCTCAGCATGGCCGGAGAAGTGGTGCATCAGTGCGTGCCCAGGATCCGAACCCGGGCCGCCAGCAGCGGAGCTCACGCACTTAACCGCTAAGCCATGGGGCCAGCCCCAAAATTTAGTTCTTATCTTTCGTTCTTGTCTCTCATTTTGTATGTCTTGTCTCCTCAACTGCAAGATAAGCGGATAATATGTGGAGACAATATTTTATGCTTCCTTATTTCTCCACAGGGTCTACCATAGTCATAAATACATCACAAAGTCTCCACAAATGTATTGATTCAGAATCAGGAGTAATAAGCGAGGAGTGGAGTAGTCAGTAGAGGCTTTATGGAGGAGGTTGAATGTGAAGTCCTCCTGAGGGACAGATACATTTGGATGGGAAGCAAAGAAGGAATTTGGAGAGGTTTGGGGAAGAAATATCCCGAATAAAGGAACATGGCAGAAATATTCATGGTGGCACATGGGGTCGGGTGGTAAGGAAAGAAGTCTGGCTTGAATGGGAGTATTCTTAGGGAATTAGTGAACAATAAGATTAGATGGATAGGGTGAGGCCTGGTTGTAGAGTATAACTGAAAAACAGTCTCAATCTTTATTTAACAAGCAATGGGGAGTCACCATATATTCTAGAGTAGGAGAGCAACATGATTATGTTTAATATTCTACGGAAATTAAACGGCTGCTATAGAGAAAACTTTCCCTTAGAAAACTATAAAACCTTAGCATATTTTTTCAGAACAGACATAACGAAAATGGCAAATACTCATTTAATTTTTCTTTTGAGGAAAAGGTTCTTCTGGCTTAAACTGAGATATATTCAGCTGGTAAATTCTGTACTATTTTCTGCAAGGAAAGGTTCAGTTCTAAGCACTTGAGCAATTGGACAAGAAAGTAGGTTCAGTGGAAGAATCTGCAGCAGGACTCCTTAAAGGATGATACTTCTAAGCTGTGAGCATCTGTGGTATAAGAAACGCTGAGCGTACCTTGCTGGGGAATCTCACAGAGAAGTCCAGTCCAGAAACTTGTGCATTCACAACTGAAAGCATTAATACCGTCGACGCAAGCTCCCGCATTCAGGCACGGGTTGCTCAGACACTCATTGATGTTTTCCGTGCAGTTGATACCAGCCCAACCTGAGTCACACTCACAAAGATAACCAGAGACTGTTTCCTAAGGAAAGAAAAAATATAACACCCTAAAACAAATGGATAGGAAATCGACTTGAATCATCACAAATAATAAAGAAAAGTGGTGCTATGTGATGTATGTAGCAGGTACGTAGATGCTTGAGCCGCAAGCATCTTCCAGTAGCCTAACTTGTATTAAATCATTTAAACCGTGATTGCTAAGTATAAGAAGTCAGATTTGTCTGGATCAAACTGTAGGCTTTGTTTAACTACTTGCTAAATCATTGAGAAAAAAAATTAATCCATTGGTTTTTCCTGGGAACAAAAGTTACTACCTATCTTTTATCTGAGAGTTATTGACAGCCCCTCATCTTAAGCTTGAATCATTACCTTAAAATTCTCGAATCATAGAAAATGTATTTCACAAAAGTGAAACTAAAATTATTCTCAAGTACTCTATCTCCTCAAGAAGAAGAAAGGACTCACAATGCATTGGCCATTTAGACAGGGGTGACTCAGGCAAATATTACTGAGTTGCACACATCCATTTGGCCCGTAACCATTTCCAGTATATCCCTGGAGACAAGTGCAGAGAGGTAAGGAACCTGTTCAGAAATAAAAATGGAAGTGTAAATACGATTCTGCTTGATTCAGATCCAGCAACAAAACTCAGGCTCTGTTGTATAGACAAGAAATCGCCAAGGTCAAGTCTGCATATCCCTAGGGGCAGACAAAACAAGATACGAGGAGAAAATATTAGAATCTTTATTTTTCTATTTTTTGTCTTAGAACAAGAAAGGCATTACACATTTCTAATACTTTAAATACTGATTGACTCTGCTGCTGTCAGTCCATGTCATGGTCCTGAGTTGTGTACACATGTGAGGTTCACCAGGGGAAAGGGGAGTTTCTCATCATGGAGGGGTTGGCAGCAGAAAAGAGTATTCTTGTGATGATGCCATCTGTTGCAAGCCCTGTGCGTATACTGACTGACTTAATCCTCTCAAGAGCCCTATAAATAGGTACTATTATAATCCCCATTTACAGATGAAGACAAAGCAAAGAAAGGTTAAGTGCCTTGACCAAGGACATTCAGTTAGAATGTCAAGGGAAAAATCAAAATCTAAGCAGCCTTCTTCTAGAATCCTTGCTCCTAACCTAACAGTATGCTGTTAATCATTTAATAAACATTTAAATAGTCGCAAGTCTATATATATGTATATACATAAAAGTCTTATATGTTATTTTATTTATGAGAAGTTAATAGAAACAAAAGTGGTATTTTGAAATAGCAAGAGATATGATACATTATTCAGTAAATGGAGTTGGGCCACCCATTTGGACAAAAATATCAAGGTAGATCTCTATTTGATGCTATAGATGAAAATAAATCCTAAAAAGATAAAAGATCTTAATGTTAAAAATAAATGAAAGTATAAAAGAACACATACTTGGCTATTTTTAAAGAGGTCAGTAGAGAAGGCCTAATTCTAAGGGGAGTAATCCTAAAAGAAAAGATTTACCTTTTTGAATATATAGAAAATTTAAACTTCTAAATAGAAAATACCACCACATAATTAAAATAAAAACAACATGCCAGAAAAAATACATGTAAAACATAAGACAGATAATGAGATGATGTCCTTAGTACAGAATGAAATTTTACAAATCAATGAGAAAGCAGGTGAACAAAGAGAAAAACAAAAATGGTCAGTAAATATGTGAAAAGTATTAATTATTAATTATTACTAATCAAAAAAGTTAATTTTGACATAGTCAAAATTAAAATAATAGGAAGGCAATTTTTGCCTATAAAATTGACCAAAATGAAAAATTACAACAGTATCCATTATTGTCAAGGGTGGGGTAAAGGTATATTTTCATATACTGTTAATGGGTATATAAACCGATACAATATTTCTGGGAGAAAATTTAGCAATATATATTTTAAAAATCATAGGAGGTGAAGCTACTTTTATGCAGCATTGCAGACTCTGTTGGTTATCACCCTAGACCCATTTTTCCCTGACTTAGTAGTGAACCCCTTATTTTAACTGGTGGCATGGGCACCTGAAATAAAGACTACATTTCCCAGCCTCCCTTGCAGCCTGGGTTAGCCACCAGGCTCAGTCCTGGTCAATGGCATCAAAATGGAAGAGTCCTTGGAGGAAGTTGACATGTCCTCCTTCCACTTTTCCTCTTTCCTGCTTGCTGGAATACAGTCATGAATTAATTAGCTGGCTTAATTATCTTGGGAAATAATTGCTAAATTCAAGCAGATCATAAAAGAGCATAGCTTATTGCATTAAAAAATCCAAATGTATAGTTTCATAACATGGATTAATTTTTGAAGATCAAAATAAGAATTTTGAAGATAGAGGACTTTGTTTTTTAAATGTTGATTTGTTTACAAGGTCATATTAAAATACTCCAAACCAGAGGGAGAGATGAGTCATTACCTAGAACTGAGGAGCATGACGCGTCTGTGTGGCAGCCTCCATTATCGACCAAGCAGATGTCTATGAGTGTGCACACTCTTCCATTGCCCTCGTACCCTGATCACAGCAAGAGCAGAGACATGACAAACAACGTTAAGAATATTCGAGAAGATGAATCCCAATCTGGGAATCAAATATCATGAAACAGACCAACCAGAGATCCTCTATCATCAAAGCAGAAAACATGAATATGAGGTGTCATAAACAAAATTCCATAATTAAGAAAAGGGACAACAAGAATTAGGAAGCAGATTTCAGAAACAATGTTCTGGGCTGTTTCTAATGACAAAAATAAAAAATGAAAATAAGAAGACTATGAAACTACTGGTAGACTCAGAGAGTGCTGACACTAAGGAAGTTGACATTTTTTAATTACAGTCACTTTGATGATCTTAGAGCTAAATTATTGTAGAAGTCCAAAGTACTGTTGTTTCATGTTAATAAAACATATTGGGTTTCAGTTCTCCCTGAACTTCTTGGATAGTAACTCAATTTAGATTAAAGAATAGCAGTAATGACTTCTTTCCAGAAGGAAAGAAACTAATGTGTATTATATGCCTACTATTACGCCTGTTATTTAGTAAACTTTATATGTAAAACATCTCATGAGTGCTTTATATTAATAAATTATTTGTGGGGACAATGGAGCTATAGGTCTGTGATTCACAGAGAAAATTTTTCGAATTCTGCATTGTCTCAGCATGCTATTTCACAGTTTGTAAAGCCTTGTTGTTTTCAGCGATATTCAAAATATTTTTTCTTTCTTTCTTATAATATAGCTGTAGTAATGTGCCCTGAATGCATAAGTTAAATGAAACTTTCTGCACTATTCAGTATATCTCCTTAGACAGAAGTCATATTTAAAATGCAGCACAAGATCTGCTTTGAAATGTATGTTTTGCCTGTAATGGTATCAAGAAATTTGCTGTAGCACCTGGCGGACAGGCCTCACAGTGGTAAGATCCAAGTGTATTCACACACTCAACATGGGGAACCAGAGAACAAGCGCCATTGTTTATCTCACATTCATCAATATCTTCGCAATAGTATCCATTTCCTTGCCAGCCTAGAAAAATAAGAAGATTTGAAAAGTTAGCTCTATAGATAAATCAACAAAGAAGAAATGTAAATAGCCAAAAACATATAAAGACTTGCTTAACTGTAAGGAACTAAAGATTAAAATGAGATAGACGCTACCTATCAGATTGGCAAAAATTGCCTTAAATTCTGAGAATTAAATTTCGGCAAAGAGGTGGGCAAACAGGGTACTTTATATGCTGATAGTCAGAATTTAAATAAATAAAACCTATTTGGAAAGAGATCTAGCAGTATTCATTAAAATTTTAAAAATACATCCCTTTTGACTAACAATTCCTCTTCTTAAAACTTATTCTGCAGTGATAAAATTGCCAGTATATAAAGATGTAGGTAAGTAGATGTCTATTGCAGCATTGTTTAAAATGGGGGGAAAACTCTCACTGGTCAATAGGGGCATAGCTGAACGTATTATGACTCACCTACATCATCAAATACTAAAAATTATTTTTAATAACATGCATACACACATATCGAAAGAATTTTCCCAAATACATTTTAATCAAAAATACCAAATTTTAGGGCCGGCCCCGTGGCTTAGCAGTTAAGTGCGCACACTCCACTGCTGGCGGCCCGGGTTCAGATCCCGGGCGCACACCGACGCACCGCTTCTCCGGCCATGCTGAGGCCACGTCCCACATAGAGCAACTAGAAGGATGTGCAGCTATGACATACAACTATCTACTGGGGCTTTGGGGGAAAAATAAATAAATAAAATTATTAAAAAAATACCAAATTTTAGAATAATATGCAGACTATGTTCTCAATGGGGAAGAATTCTTTAAAAACCTGCATATGTGTCTATGTGATTGTATGAGGGAGGGAAAAGGTAGAAGAGGCAGAACAAATTGTTAACAGTGGTCTCATTAGGAGGATGATATTGAAAGTAAAGAAAAAATATCATTTTACTTAAGACATTTCTGTTGTTCAATTGTTATAAGTTTCATTACTCCCTATAATTCAAATGATCACAATTATAAGAACGTGTAAAACCTTTTAAATCCTTTAAAATATTTATTTTCTTTGATCTAAGTAGAGTCCCCTTCTAAAAATCTACCTAAGAAAATTATCATCTTCGTGGGTGAAGAAATGAGTGCGCAAAAAAAAGCTGGAAGGAAATATGCCCAAATGTTAACGGTGGTCCTCTGAGCGAGAAGACTACAAGAGTCCTCCCTTATCCATAGTTTCACTTTACACTTTCAGTTATCTGTGGTCAACCTGGATCCAAAAATATTAGATGGAAAATTCCAGAAATAAACAATTCATAAGTTTTAAATTGCACACCATTCTGAGTAACAGGATGAAATCTCCGCCACCCTGCTCTGTCCCATCTGGGACACAAATCATCCCTTTGTCCAGCATATCTACACTGTATGCTACCTGTCCATTAGTCACTTAGTAACCCTCTTGGTTATCAGACTGACTCTTGAAGTATCCCAGGGCTTGTGTTCAAGTAACTCTCATTTTACTTAATAATGGCCCCAAAGCCAACTTCCTTGTTAGTTATTGTTGTTAATCTTTTACTGTGCCTAATTTATAAATTAAACTTTATCACAGGTATGTATGTATAGGAAAAAACATAGTATATATAGAGTTTGATACTATCCGTGGTTTTGGGCATCCCCTGGGGGTCTGGGAACATAGCCCCCATGGATAAGGGAAGACTAGTGTATGCATATTTTTTTCTGTGGGTTTTTTTTGCATATTTTTGTAGTTCCTTTATATTTTATAAGCAGCATATATTACTTTGATATTCAGGAAAAACAAGGTGATTAACAGGAAAACAAAAAGCTTTTGTTTTTCTCTTCAACAATAAAAAGAATGTAAGAACACATTGCCCATCCTATAATTTAAATAATTTCCTTTTTTGATTTCTAGTCTTTAAAGATTGACACTGGCAAATTACCTTCAAGAATATGATTATTTGCAAATTTTGCTTGCCCCTGAGAACTAAGAGAGAAAAAGTCTTTACGTGTTTTTTCGAATGTCTTTCCAGTTGTACAAGATCCTAACATACAACATGAAGAAAGTCACTAAACCAAAAGTCACTAAATGAACAATAGGTGTGTGGGATTCCTTGGCAAGACAGAATAACAGAGTATTCAGCAGCTCAGCTCAGAGCCAGAGTCAGGCAGACCTGGGTTTGAATCCGGCTGCTTATAAGCTATGTGATCTTAAGCCTCTCTAAGCCTGCTCTAAGCCTCAAATTTCTGTATTTTAAAATGGGAATAATACTAATTCCTACCATTTCTTGTTTGTGTTATAGTTGCAAGAACTAAACATTGCCTAGCACAGTCCTTAATAATGTTTTCATAAAAAAACAGTTGCTATTATTATATTCTTTTAGTGCTCCACTTTCTGAGAACACCCACGGAGTGCAGATGGGTCTTGTAAACTCTCTGAGGTCTGGTTAATTGCCCTCCAGTGCACCCAGCACAGTGATCTGCTCTACAAATCTGCGTTGAATGGATGACAATGATCTCATATAGTAAGAGATGAAGCTTGGACTCAAACCCAGGTAGTCTCTGAGTCCACAGTCCATGTTTTCAGCAACTCAACATGACCACCCCGGGAGATCCGGTCTCTGTAGGTCTGTGATGGAGCTAGACATCCCTATTTACAGCAAGGCCACAGGGTCTTCTAATAAGACACACAGGTGAGAACTATTGGACTCTGGTGGAGATACTAAGAGGTCAAATAATTTGCCCAAGTTTACCAACCTTTGTCTAGTATGAAAGATGGGACCAGAGCACATGTCTTTTGATCTCAAGTCTAGTCAGTTAATGGCCATCGCAATAAAGTGTTTGACCTCACAAACTCTGTGGCTAACCCTGCCCCCAACGTTTGACTCCAGCACAGTTTGGGACAAACCTCCCATTTCTATTGTTGAATTGTTACAACAGTAAGATGGTCTGGGGCGGGAGTTAGTGAAATAGGACATGAAACTAGACTGGAACACCTCCTGAGAACGGTCTTCTTATCCTTCGACAGTGGAAGTAAATTGATTATGGCACATTGTCTGGCCGGCTTGCAGAGCCCAGCATGGCGCCTCTGGCTGGGCGTGGACCTGCCCACATACCTATTGGACAGGCCCCACAATAGAAAGAGCCTGGAGTGTTGAAACACTGGACAAGGGATGAACAAGGCTCAGGCTGGAGGCTGCACTCGTCTCTGTCCAGCGTGCAGGCCGAGCTGTTCTCCAGCGACGTCCACCCAGCATCGCAGCTGCAGCTGTACTTGGGCTGGCGGGATGACAAGAGTGTGAATAAAGACCATCCAGAAAAGCCTTTGAAAATCGCACCAAGCCCCCAACTGTTTATCCTCTAACATTCATTTCCTTAAGGCCAATTGAGTGGCTTCTCTTTTTCTTCCCATATGATTAAGCATTTAGACCAGACCATGCAAAAAGAGAAACATCTGTATTTCAGAGTAAGGGAAACCTATAATTTGCCCCAAAGATGCCAGGGAAAGAGCAACAACAATCAAGAACTGTAAGTCAATATAATTAAAGTCAATCAACTCAGCCTGCTATGTTTTTAGAAAGAAAAACACCCATGGAGGCACAGACCTTGGAAAATCAATTCTGTTTGTTTCCTTTTTGAAAGCCTCTCCTCACCCTCCCACCTACACTCCCCCTCCCACTATCATTGGAAGGGAACCATTTTCCATCACATGGGGACAAAAAAACAGAACTAAAAATAAAGACCCGAAGGTCTCACGCAAGGCCAAGTGGGCTGGGGTTGGGCCACCTTGAGGGTCAGGAGTTAAGGTCATCTGGACCCAGAGCACAGGGTCACTCAGGGACATGGGTTCACAGTCTGCAGCACTCACGGGGGCTCAGGGCCAGAAAAATCCAGACTCCTTAAAACTGAATGTTGTCGACAAGAGTGGGCCTTTTGTGTTTCCATGTATTGTCACAGTTAAAACTCACAAGGTCACGAGAAGGTCAGGTCTCACAGAGAGATTTATGCAGGAATAATAAAAATGGTAGTAATTTATGTAATGAAATCAACCTCTGGGTCCACCTTTCTGCTTATTTACCGACAACTCTCATCTCGTCCTTGCCTGTGCCTGGCTTAAGGGCAGGAAGTGACCTCCTCTCTGCAGCCCCACAGGGCCGTGCTTGTACACAGTCACGCAGGATGAAGAACTAATAACCGTGACTCCCTCCAAGGAGCCACATTCCAGAAGAGACCCACCTGTCCAGCCTGCACGCGGACTAGATCCTCACAGATGCCGTGGATGCAGAGCACCGTGGAGCCCTCCTCACAGTCATTGTATTTGGATGCACACTGGGGGCCATAAGTCTCAGGTGAGCAGTGACAACTGTTGATCATACAAGAGGACAACATCAGGGCTTATGCTTCAGGGTGAGTGCCTGTTTCTTAGCATCAATTAAAAATAAATAATTCCAACTGCAGTTCAGTGATGTTCACATGGAATCATGGAATGGAATTCCATGGAATCATAAATCAGCAAACCAGATTCACTGGCTGGAGTCTTAGAAGAAAATCACCGCTCTGCTTCAAGTGGTGGATTGAGTAAATGTATTATCGTCTCAAACACAGTGTTAGAGGGGCATGACTTACTATCTGGGCTAAGACTATCCCTATAAATTTTTCTGGTATCATGTCACCAAATATCACTTTCACAGGTCAGACATCTATAAACTGAGGGTGATGGAGTTTATTCAAGACAGTAAAGGGAGAGACCAATAAGTCCATTCACCGTCCGTCCAACCAGACCCACCAGTAAGCGTAGGTGACCTTCACTGAACTGACAAAGTCCTAGAATTTATACAATTCTAGGATTGTATAAGCCCACAGGCAATGGTATATCCACATCTCAGAGTCTACGATAATTATGATTATATTACAAAGGGCAATACTTCCTCGATCCATAAGAGATGTAGTTAACATAGCAACATTTCTTTCATAGTCACATTTTAACTCATAACAAAATGTAATTATTACACAATACCTAAGCTAGCAGTGAGTGTTTATTGTTAAGAGAAGATTTCAGTTCAATAATAATCAAATAAGCAAAGTTGTTTTAAACTAATGTAATTCTTAAAATTGCTGAGTTAGCTTTATATCTGTACTGTAGCTTCAAAGGGAACGTGGAAGGTGTGAGAATGCAGTTGGGGAATGGGAAGGGGTAGAGGAGTCACAGAGCCTAAGCTTACTTCCACATGTCTGAGCACATCCCATGGATAGAAAAGCCAGGCCCAGAGGTCATGTTGGCCTGACTTGAGCAGCACTGGCCCACTTGGAAGAAACGAACCATCAGGGCTGAGTGTCAGAGACCAGGAATGGGGAGGACCTGCATGGCCATGAACTGTGAACTAGTTTCTGAATGTTCTGGAAAAGGGGCCATTCCACAAGGCGAAGAAGCTCTTTTAACAATACATGTTGAGGCACAAGATGCTTAGCTGATGTCCACGGATGAAAACAAACGTGTGATTGACAGTGTGGGAAATGAGAGTTTGGCTATTTGAGAAGCAAAAAAGCCACACTCTGGTCACAAACTTGGTGTACCCAAAGAGGGTCTCAGAAACAACTGCTGGGGTGGCTTGTTTGAACGGGTTCTAAGGAAGAAGAGATCAATGAATGTGGTGAGAAACGGAGAGTAAGAATATGATGAGTACCATTCAGGCACTCTCACATGTAGGGTTGTCAGATCTAGCAAATAAAGATACAGGGTGTCCAGCTAAATTTGAATTTCAGACAAATGAATAGTTTTTTTGTCTAAGAATGTCCCATGCAATTCGCAACATCAATATATAATTGTGTAAAAGTTGTTCCACTAATAAATTACATTTCTGAGCAGTCCAAGGTTGCCTTTCTCATTAAGACGAGGTCATAGATTAATAGCAATAGATGATTAACCTCAAAAAGAAATTCAATTATTCATTCCCTACCCATAGCTATTTATCTTCCTCTCATCTCTCTCTTTCTATACTCTCCCTGTCATATTCTCTTCCCTTTCCTCTTTACTCTCCCAGCCTTACCCAGACTATTCTTCCAGAGAATTTAATTAGACTCTTGGAGATTATAGAACTTTAGACCATTTTATATACATATTCGAGCATTTGATCCAAGTGACTTCTCTGCTAAAGTTTATTTTACCACCACTTTCACGCCCCCCCAAATTTTTTTAAATCTTTAAACCAATTATTACTAGCTTTCCAAGTCTTTCATGTATGAGAGGTCTAAGTATTCAGGACCCCAGGGGAAAAAACTACCCAGGTTTAAATCCTGACCTCTCTCCTACCTATTGTTCACCTTTGTTTCTTATAAAATGCTAGTGCCAACCTCTGAACTGGACTTTCACCTTGGGGTCTAAAGGCATTTTCCTGTAGGAAGTGCCCAGGAAACTGTGTTTATCTTATCACTAAGTGCTTTGCTGTTGGAAAATGGCTTAAGGTTGGAGAGGAGATTCTGGTTCCTAGACCTGCAGTTAAATCCTCTCTCTTGTTGTCTCTCTTCCTTCTCCCTTGATATTGTCACTTGGAGATGCGTAAATTTTAATCCCACACTCTTCTCTAAACAGCTACGAAGTGTACTTCTTTCCCTTAAGTTTAGGTAATGTGAGAAGAAGAAAGCAGGAGGGAGGGAGAGAGGAAGCCAAGTACACTGTCAGCTTCCTTGCTAGGATCCTCAAAGACAAGTATTATTAATCCCATTTTACTGGCAAGGCTCACATTGCCCTAGGCCACAGAATTAGTAATTGGCAGAAGATGAATTAAAACCTAAGTCTGTGTTACTTCTGCACCATTGTTTTTCCATGTCACATTCCCTGGTTCGGAAAGGTAGAGTTAATTGAAGACTTTCCATTTTTATGTGTCTTTTCAACATAACAGTGTTTGCATGCAAAATGTATTCTCAAGGTGTCTGGATATGCCCTTTAAAGAAAAAAAGTAATGAATTATATACCTCCCGGCAGAAGTCACTTTTGTAATGACCTTCTATTGCTGCTGGTTTGGTTCCAGCAGAACAAAACTGGGCTTTTCAGTCTTCAAAAACACTGCAAGTGCGTTTGGCAAGTGAAAAGAGGTCAAATACACTTTTATAGTCGTAGCTTAACTTGCGTTAGAGTCCATGGTGCAATATTAATGTAACTGACTCACTGAAAGAGTTAATAAGTTTAATACCTAACTGTCGTCTGAGCTAAAACCAGATTATCCTCATCTGCTCTGCATGTTTTAAAATCCAGCAGTGATAAGAATAGAAATAAATAATACAAAATATGCTAATCATCATTGTGTTCCTGGAGGATAAAAACAAACAAACTCAACTTATTTTTTCTAGAAAGCCTTCTAGATCGGAGCCTCATGTATATAACACACACCATCCACGCATGGCAAATTTGGATCCCAAGGGCTGTCTTAAATCTAAAGTAAGCAGAGGAACGATAAGAATCGATTCCTCAGAACAAAGAAGCAATAACAAAATTGAGAAGTAGCAAAATATTATGTTAGCTGTCTGAAGCAGTTGGGGGCAAGACTCAAACCACAAGAATGGGTAGAGACAGACAATGGTTTTCCTTGCTCTGCTTTCATTAACTTAAAAAAAGAATTTTTTACCAGAAATTTTCCTATGAAATAGGGCTTCCAATTAATTAGTATTTGCATAATGTTTATCTTTCAAAAGTCTTTATAATTAGGAATTATTAATCCCTTTAAATAAAGACTCCTTTGTCTCCCCAAGTAAATGGGCTCCAAGAGTTAGAGCCCATTTACTCTAAGGGGGGGACCCAAATCCAAAGCAAACCACTCATCATGACTACATTTCTGCAGGTCTAGATTATTCAACAGCAGCTCAAGGTTTCCTTTAGTAAATGTCTGTTGAAGAGGTTTCTAGCCTCAGGGAAGCTACTGATTAACAGGATTTAATCTCACATAATTAACAGAACTCAAGAAAGTATCTTAGTGTTTGTTTCATTACACACAGATTCTACAAAGTAAGCATTTAATCTTATGCCTGGGCACATTTTTCTATTTTCTTTTATTCCTTCCAAAAGTCTCTATCATATGCCTAATTTAGAGTATTTAGGTCACAGATAATCAACTAGAATTCATGAGGCTTCACAAACTATCCCCATATAGAGGGGAAGAACCCAGATTTAAATGTTCTGCTCTCTAATGTCCTCCAGCAAATCTGTGAAGGGCAGAGACCAGAAACTAAAACCAGAGTCAGCACAATGAGTCCTTGGGCTTTCTTTTACAGGAAGATGCAAGAGAGAACTCAGCATTGCTCTTAGAATGTTAAATCCACCATTTAGGCAGCTCTCAACAAATAAAATGGTTCTCTCTCTCTTTCATGTTTGTATCTGAACAAGAACTCTAACCCCTGACATGCAACAAATAGTTGTCTTAAAAAATAAGTTTGTCATTTCCATTTCGCAGGGGTAAAAATAATGTGCTAAGGAGAAAAAAAAACAATTTTGACTTGGTCTATGGGTCTAATCCCACCTGCTGCCCACCTTTGTTATCTGTTGGCTTGCAAGCCCCCAGAAGACAATGATGATAAAGGAAGACCAGGAGTGAGATCTAATCTCCAGGATACTTCTTGACATCAGCAAGGCAGGAAAGTATCAGTGCTGAGAGTCATTTGTCACCAATATCTCCAAGCAGCAATTCTCACTGATAGAAGCCCATAAATAGAAATCAGGAGATAATGCTTTCAAGGGAATGAAAGATTAGACCTGCATTTTGGATCTAGCCCAAGTTTGAATGTTTACAAAGGCAGGGATCAGGGGATTCATTTAAATAGAAACAACATCCTGAAAGCAAAAGGCTCTTTAATAACATAATACTTAATTTAAACCAGAGGTGGTTAATTTTGGTTGTGCACAATGATTAAATCCATAGATGTATCTACCAGAAGTTTGAATAAGTTAAGGTGGAATGAGCAAAAATTTTAAGATAAGAACAAAAGGATCAATTAAATGAAAAAGAGAAGGATTGTGACTGCTTTTTGAGAAAACAGTGTGCTAACAGATGACAAGGGAAAAAACAAAATTACTGCACTCATTTTTGCTGCAAAGAATAGAATGGATATCCTTACAAGGGAAATGGAGAACCAGATAGCAGAGACACTAGTAAAAGAGCAAATAATTGCTCTTTACTCCAGTGAGATTATACCCCAGAGTATTGAAAGAATTTGTTCACGCCATAACAGAACCAATTTCTTCATCTTTTAATAATCACAGAATACAGGAGACCAACCAAAATATGGGCAAAAACAATGTCTAGAGATGTTTTTAAAAGTGATTTTAAGGAACTATACAAAAGTAAGTTTGACCTGTCATAAATTTTTGGACTTGATTATTTAAAAAAATAGCATGTCAGCCAATATACCTTTAGTGACCAATATTCCTAGAGTTTGATGGGAACATGGAGGTGTTGTGAAGCTTGTCTTAGCTTAGTAATGGAAGGGAAGTTTTCCCAGAGAGGGAAATTCCTGAGCTGAGCAGAATGCTGTAGACAAGCCATTCAACAGGGTAAATCAGAAGAGAAGATAGGAGCCACATGGTGATTGGGGTAAGGGGCCTTATGGCTAATTGAAGAAAGGAAATGAGAGTTAACTATTTGAAGAAAACCTGAGTTCACTCTCTGATCTTGTTGTGATCAACATTTTAATAAGCGCTTCAGTGAAGATATCCTTATTAATCTATTAGCTCACTGATCTATTGAATGAGTACAGCAGTGGCCTGCTGGTATGATGGGGTATCCCTCTTCTACTTAAAGCTGTTCAATAGCTGCCTCTTCAATGCTTGACTCTTACTAACTTTTCAGCCTCATCTTGCACCATGTCGTCCCTACTCTCTATGCCAGCCTCGGTGGCCTTCTTCCAGTTCCTCAGGGAATCTAGAGAAAGCATTTCTTCATGGGGTGACAGTTGAGGACACAAAAGCTTTTCCTCATCTAAATAAATGGTTATATGTATGTTAAATAAGAGCCACACATTTCCCCATGGAGTATCTAATTTTGCTGGTAATGCAGATAGTTAATCTTGGATGTTCTTAACTAGGGGATATTCAAGTCTTTCAAAAACCCACTCTCTTTATATTCTTTTTAAATAGGCAAAAGTGACACATAGTTTTGAGCCAAAGCTTTAAGACACTCCATGTTTCTGCTCAACCCTCAACCATGGTTTTTGACCAAAATCGTAAGAAGGACATTCCTCAGGCAGCCCTTGTTCCTCCAGCCGAGGCCTAAGAATGAGACGTGCAGACCAAACCTAAACCGAAGCAGAGCCGCCGTGGCCAATCTGCTGACCCATGAGTATGAAAAATAAATCCTTGTTGTTTAAAAAATAAAGAAAAATGTTACCTGTAATTCCCTGCTGTATTTATACATGTGGCTCCATTCTGGCAGCCGAAGGGTGTTCCCGAGTAAATCTCACATTCGTTAACATCATCTAAGCACAGAGGACCCTGTGTTCATGTAAAGAACAGAGTCAGGTGTCACAGGTCACCGGGGCATCTGGGGCTAACATGATAAGTTTAAGGATTTACACATGGACAATAAAGAAGTCTTTGGTCAAGACAAATACAATAATACTAATACTAATCTCTGGTTACCCTTCCTCTGGAACTCAGATTTGGCCAAAAGAGCCAAAGAGCTCTTCTTACCATCACACCAGTCACTCAAGAAGAGTCCTTATACAAGCTAATCCTCATTTCACTGCGGCGCTAAGACTGGGAATACTCAATTTTTTTTTTAATCTGTGTGTCAGAAACATTTTCACCATTAATAGAAAAGGGCAAGAAAATTTACCTGGCTATGTCAAGATTCCTTTAGTAGTCTCAATACTTAACAATTTAAATGAATGCTAGCCGAAATATCATACCCTTCCATGTAGTTATGCAATCAAGTGTACCCCTCCTTAAGATAGCTTAGGATTCTGTGGGTTGTATAATCATGCCCACCATTGTTTGCAGTTTGGCATACTCCAAACATTCTGATTCGGGAGACCACAGAATCCTAGAAACTTTGGGTGGAGAATTAAATATGTCTGAATGATTCCAAGGAAACCACAGAGGCTGACTCACCATCATTTTTAACCAAAGACCAAGTGACTCACCTTCCACTGTGAGGGACAGATACAATAAAAGGAATCATGAAGATTGAGGCAGGTTCCACCATTTTGGCAGGGATTGCTGCTGCAAACCTTTTTGTCAACTGTCTGAAACAAAGACAGGACAGTCAGCGAGACAATCATCCTTTTAGGTGGCAGCAGTGAAAGACATGATTCAGTGCAGGTGTTCATGGAGGATTACATTTCACTCCTAGTCAACCGGGGTCTTCCTCTAGACTTTAAACCAATGACTTAAGTTCTTCAAATCAAGTCTCTCGTGAGAAAACAAAAAGTGTTTCTTATTAACAGTCTTATTCATATTCCTTTACTGTACATGCATTTAACCGGGGATGGGATGAGGCAGGAGGGAGAAGAGTCTCACTTTATTCTTTGGAAAGGCATTGTTCGCCGGAAAAATATTCGTTGGTGGACAAGAATAAAGATTTCAAGTGTAGGAATAATAATGGACATTCCTATTGTACTAAGAAAATAAAATGGAAATTCCAGTTCTTTTGCTGTTATTCTTATCTTTGGTACCTCCAGACAAGCATTTGAAATCTGATCATCTTTTGCTGCCACCCCTCCTCCCATGGGTTAAGATGACTGAACTCTTTCCACTGCAAGTCCCTTTGTTTGAAATGTGGCCAGCTTAGGTACACCCTGCACTCTCGTGCCCACGTGACCACTTTCAGACCACAGTCACAAACAGACCTGCCTTTGTCTACCCAACCTGGGGAATCTTACCATATGTCAGCTATCAGTTCCAATCTTATAAGATTCGTAATGTCTTTGAGGGCAGAGAAAAATTCTTTAGAGAGGACAAGAGATTATGCAAGGAAAGCTACTCTATTAATTTCACCTAATCATAGTCTAATTCACTGTTTTAAAAATTAAAATAGGGACAAAGTATTCACTACATGTTTTTATATTCAGTGACTCAGAAAGAAGTGTTCCCTTCATTTTACAGATGAAACTGAGAGCCGGAGGGGAGCCAACTGACTTAGCACCATGGATTGCAGAGCCCATTCTGTCTCCACCTTTGTCATAAGTCAGGAGACTGCACATGTGAGGGTCTCTTCCTGGACTCTGTTTTCTTCCATTATTCTGTCTATCTTTGTGCCTGTACCACAATGAGCCCTGTTCATCAAAGGACACTGTTAAGAAAGTTGACCACAAACTCATTACAAGTTTTTCTGGCAAACAAAAGCAATGCTGTCTGGGGATTAAAAACTCAAAAGCCTAGTGGGGAGGGAGGTGGGCAGCAGGAAATGGAATCAGAAAGGAGTCCAGGGGACAACAATAGGGAGTGACGGGGCCTGTAGTGCCCCGAGAGCACTTCCCCTATCCAAAGGCATAAAGGCACTTACATTCAAAATCATTAAAAACGCTTCCCGGGGGGATGAGGAGAGGGAGGACAGTCTGAGCTAATCTTGACCATGGCCTCCAGCCCTTGACATGTGGTGGGAACAATGAAGCCCTCTAGGAAACTGAACATTCTAGTGCTCTGTCTTGCTCCACAGGTATGATTCCTCGCTCATTTTCTCACCTACTCGCTTAAACGATCAAGGCTAAGAGGGCAATTTATCATTCCTTTTCCTTGGGAAAAAGAATACATGAATTTGTTCATAAAATTTAAAACACCAAAGTAGAGGACAATGCTTGAAGCATAATCAAAACAGATCAAGAATATTAGGGCAGGGAGTCTTAACCCAGAATCCCCTGACTTGCATTTAAATTTTTAAATATGGGGACATTCTGTGCATTTTTCTGGGTAGAAGTTTATGGCTTCCATGAAAATCTTAAAAACGTCACCTACCTACAAAAGGGGTAAGAAGTCTAATATTACAAGGACTGGTTTAAAAGCATGTAGTAAACTTATGGAAGATTTGCTTTAAGAAATTGTGCAAATTTAATCACCAGCAAATGTACTTTAATGAAATTTGGAATATTTTGTGATGCACCCCAGACTTCTGAGTTTAATGTTAGAGAGGATGCATGGCCTTTCAAAACTCAGCCCTTGATGCCAGAATCAGCAAGTTGGGTGGTCACCAGCTGACCAGGTATAGCACACTTAAGCCTGCCATAACATGGTTCAAGAGGGACAGCGTAGGAGGAGGAGCACGTGGACTGCTGAACTCAGAGTCAGAAGGCCTCACATGCCTAGCCACCCTGGGCTCGTCACTTGATCTCCCTGGGACTCAGGTTCCTCACCTGTATCCTGGGAAGCATAAACTGTGATGAGAATTAAATTATGGGAAAAATCAAAGTCCTTGATGCTGATCATCCGTCCATCTTAAGATAAGAATACCAGCTCCATCAATGATTCTAATGTATTTTCAGTGAAAGATATTAGATATCTAGTAGTTATGGGACTCACCTGCTGTAAGCTTTGAAATTTTCTCTCAAGATCCATAAGCTAGTAGAGAGGAGGAAAAAGCATCAGTTAATAAGAAGGTCGCTATCAGAACATGTGCGAGGCCTACTTAGGCAACAAGCCCTCGTCACAGCATTTCCAACCTTCTGCCCATCACCACCTCTACATCCTCTATTAGAGCTGTGTCATTTAGCCAGAAATTCCGTAATTACCATGCTAAATTTCTAAAGAGGACACAAGTTGGTATACCTTCTGTGAAATGGTTACTTACAAAGTTGAATTAAGGCGAACGAACCCATTTGGTCTAACGATGTGGAGGTCAGACTTACCGTGGAATTAAGCTGATAGATTTGACTAGAAATATTTTGAGGCAGATCAATTGCACTCCTTTTTAAATCTGTAATATCATCTTTGTTTTTCTGGATCTAATTTTAAAAGGAAGAAGAAGAAAAAAAGAGGAGGAGGAGGAAGAAAATGTTAGTGAAAAAATCATGTATATGTGATAGGAATAAAATTTAAAATTTTGAGTAGTATTCTATTCTAAGCACTAAAATCTTGCCCATTATTATAAAAACCAAAACAATGCCATGTATAATAATCATCAGACTAAAATAGCCACGGCATAATTCCATCTACCCTTTTCCGTAACAATGTATCAAAGTATTTTCCATTCGCCTTTTTGGCCATAATAGCAGTTTAGAGTCCTCGTTAAGAGACCTGGCTTGGAATGAGACTCTTCAGGTTTTAAATCTTGGCTCAGCCACTTATTGTATGTCGTTAGGCAAGTTACTGAACTGCTACAGGTTTCCTTTCCTCTCTTACAAATGGGGTAATAATAAAGCCAACCTCATAGGGTAGCTGTGAGGGTTAGATGAGGCAATGCATGTAAAGGGCTGAGCACAGTGATGGCCCATAGTAAGCTCTAAATAATGCCAGTTTCTAACACTATGACTGATATACCAGTGTGATGTAGTAAATAACAAGCACTGAAAACACTCAGTAAGGCAGGAGAATAATTGGGCAATTGTGTTCCGCGGCAAAAGGAAACTTCTCTGGTCCCCCTCCTTCCTGCTTCCCTTGTGGAGCCATCCCAGTACCCTCTGTACATTCTCTGGACTAGAGTACATGAGCCTCCACAATGAGCCACTTCCCGCTAGCATTACACCCTCTACCCATCATTAATGCTAGGACATTGTTCTTTACAAGGACTTGTCTCACCTCCAATTATGTTCCCTGTGCTCAAGATTCAAGGTACAGATTAATAAAGACCTGTTCAATTAAGTGATCTTATATGGATATACAAAATTGCTTCAACATATTTCCACTGCATTACCTGATGCAAACATTCATCAAGGTCTTCATCATTTAATTTAATTTTTCCCAGGGATCCACTTCTAAATTCAATGTTTTGAGTAGACCCAGTAAGAAACACTAAATTTCCCCTTTCTGTAGTCATTCGAGGCCTGTATAATTCAAAGCAGAGAACACATCAGTATTTAGCACACATAATTTTTAAACCTAAAGAATAAAGTTTCTCACTGAATAACTATAGATTGCATATACCTTTGCTTTGTGGTCGACTCCACCAAATTCTCCCTGCTCATCTGCCATTTCTTTCTCTGCAAATTTCTTGGAGATATCTCCTAGTAATTGCATACTTTGCTTAATTGCAAAATGATAAATGAAAAATTTGTGTATAAGGAGATAATTCCATACAATAGTCCAAATGTTTTTCCCTATTTGTTTTAAAGATCATTGTTTTCTTCAAGAAAAATTTCACCTTTGCTTATCTAGCTATTTGTGAAAACTGATGAGGAACTACCTTAGTCTATCAGAAATAATCCATGTGTCTACTTACTGTTGGAGATCAGAACTTCTTTTTTGTCTCTGCAGCTCAAGTCCTCCAGCTTCACCATCTAATTCAGCAAATGTCAATAAAATAATCAAACTCCAAAGAAAAGGTGAGGACATGTTCCTCACCAACCCTCCTGCCTGTTGGGTAAGAGGGAGGACGCTCCAACCAACTCAGTGTGGGACTTGGAAGAAGGCAAACCAGGCAAATGTACTTTGACCTGTAGAACATCCTGCAACTTTTCAGTTTTTTCTTCTTTGCCCTAGAAGGCGATGTTCTTTTTTTCTTCCTAAGGGATGTAAATGATCTTAGATCTTCAGTACTCTTCAACTTCTGAGAGGTCAAAATCTACCCTTAAGTGATGCACAACTTAATCATTATCTGTTTGACCTTTGAAATGGTAACAAACTGCTTTGAAAACAGCCACCAAAACAATCCTGCTTAAGAAAGTAGCCACCTTGCAACAAATGGTGCTGGGAAAACTGGATATCCACATGCAAAAGAATGAAGTCGGACCCTTACTTTACACCCTATACAAAAATGAACTCAAAATGAATCAAATACCTAAATATAGGAGCTAAAACTGTAACACTCTTAGAAGAAAACACAGGGAGAAAGCTTCATGTCATTGGATTTGGTGATGATTTCCTGGATATGACACCAAAAGCAGAGGTAACACAAGGAAAAAAACAGATAAATTGGACTACTTCAAAATGAAAAACTTTTGTGTATCAAAGAACACTGTCAACAGGGTGAAAAGGCAACTCATAGAATGGGAAAAAATATTTGCAAATCATATATACGATAAGAGATTGATATCCAGAATTTTTTATAAAGAACCACAACTCAACAACAAAAAAACAACCCAATTTAAAAATGGGCAAAGGAAATAGCAAAGAAGATACAAAAATGGTCAAAAAGCATATGAAAAGATGTTCAACATCACTAATCATTAGGGAAATGCAAATCAAAAGCACAATGAGCTGACACTTTATGCCCACGAAGCTAGCTGCTATTAAAAAACAAACAAAAAACCAGAAAACAAGCAGTGTTGGTGAGGATGTGGAGAAATTGGAACCCTTGTGCACTGTCGGAGAGAATGTAAAATGGTGTTGTCACTATAAAACAGTATGCTCAAAAAATTAAGCATAGAATTACCACGTGATCCAGCAATTCTACTTCTGGGTATATAGCCAAAAGAATTGAAAACAGGGACTCAAAAAGATGTTTGTACAACCATGCACACAGCAGCATTATTCACAATAGCCAAAAGGTGGAAGCAACCCAAGTGTCCATCAACAGATACAAATGGATAAACAGAACGTGTTACATACATACAATG